TGAGAGAGAGAGGTTTGTTTTACAACATATCAGCTTCTATGAGTTATTTAATGCTGACAATATCCTTCTCCAAAAGAATGCATAGATGAAACCCCCTAACAGGTGCTACCACCCAGGGTCACGGTGGACCTGAGAACACCAGGTTCCACACTCTTCGAAAACACCTGATCAGAGGCCTTGCTGTCGGATGCAGTTTATCGTCATACCCAATTGCCGTCCAAGGCTACAGAACCCTGTCTGTCGTGCTATTTACCCATAACTGGAGAGAGAAGAAAAGGATTCATGCCTTTCCCAAGGTCATTAACACGTAAGTGAATGTAACAGATTCGACTGGAATTCGAACTCTGCTCTCCGCGTCGCTATCCATTACTCCACCGTGCCTATATATATATATATATATATATATATATATATATATTTAATTTAATCAGAAAGCAGACAACTTTAAGGGTCCGTTGATTATATTTTATTTCCTCAGGAAGGGGAGTCCTGGGCAAGACGATAAACTACGTCCGACAGCAAGGCATCTGATCAGGAGGTTTTAAGGAGCGGAGAACCACCTCTTAATTGCTGGTGTTCTCAGGTCCAACCTGATCCGGGATGGTAGCACCTGATAGGGCCCCAGCTATGGGTAAATCCCCAAACTGGTGTCAAAACACTATGAAAGTGTAAAAATAGGTTTTAATAACAGTAATACTTTGTATAAAATTATTGCCAGCAATACATTTTTGAAAAAAATGTATATATTACTAGCAATAAACATCTAGTCGGCGTTAAATAACCCATTAAGGTTGATATACCGTAAAACAAAACAAACCAACCCAGGAAGGTGTTTTTTTTTCCTGGTTCCTCAGATCACATTTCTAGCATAAAAAATGGTTTTAAATTTACGTATTATTTTTAAACACTTTTGAGGGGTACTTTTAAGTTGATGTAAGGTGATTGGGATTATCCATACAGATTACCAAAATTTTCTTTATCTAACTATATATATATACAATAAATTAATTGATTTAAAATATGTTTTTTTCCGCTACACAGTTCTAACCATGTTTCAAAAATGGAAGCTAAAAAGCCCCGAATTTAATTTTGTAATTAAATTAAAGACATTAGTTCCATTTCATCCTCAAGCAATTTTTGGAGTAACTTTTAAAATTACTGGGTTTTGAATTATGATTTTAGCTGTGTCTTTAAAACCCAGTATTTTTAAAAGTTACTCCAAAATTCGCTTGAGGAGGAAATGGAACTAATGTCTTTAATTTAATTACAAAATTAAATTCGGGGCTCTTAGCTTCCATTTTTGCAACATGGTTAGAACTGTGTAGCGGAAAAAAACATATTTTAAATCAATTAATTTATAATATTAATGCTCTGTAAATTTACATTGAGCACTATTTTGTAAAAATAAAATATCTATAAGAACACTGGATTATATATCTTACTGTTCTTTCTTTATATATATATATATATATATATATATATATATATATATATATATATATATATATATATATATATCTCAATAAAAAGCTTTCCGACTTTATCCCATTTCTTCACTTTCGGATTCTATATCTTATGAGCCCACAAAACACACACACACACACACACACATATATATATATATATACATATTAGTTCAAATGTTATTTTTAGTAGATATTCGTATTTGAGTAGAACGCATCATTCTTTAAACAATGTTTATTTTCTCTACCGGCCTACGCACTCAAGTAAAGTGAATCTTATATTTATTAAAAACAGGTTTCAGGTAAGTTGTCTAATGGTAATGCACAAACTATTATTTTTACGAAGATTCTAATTTCAGACCGGTCTAGACATTTGATCGAACCAGATAAAGTTGATTTCATCTACCGGCCCACGCACTCAAGAAAACTGAATATTATATATCTAAATAAATACAAATTCTGTCTGTCCATCCGTGTATTTGAAACCCCTCTAACTTGGACCACACATGCTCTACATCGACATATTATACCTTTTTGGAATCAGGACGATATTGTGATTGGAATTCTGCTGCTCATCTGGTTGTTGAATGTCTAACATTGGGATTTGTGTCTGGATGAGGAAGGAACAGTTAAAAATTCAAATTTTAAAATAACTGGAAAAAATTAGTGATTTTAAAAGTTTTTAATTTATGAGTTTAAAGTAACACAAAAACTTTGTGAATTTAAATATTTTTTGTTTTAAATTCAATCTAAAATATCTCCAAAATTTTGTGACTTGCAGAAATCAATTTTATTTCTTCAAAATGCCAAGGCATTAGAGCGAAAGTGAGAAGATTCGTGACGTGAGGTCTTGAAGTTGTTCGATCTTTGTGTTCAGTGGTAGTACGCGCTGGTCCTAATTGACTTATTTATTTTCTACAATTTATCAACCAAGCAAGTTATTTAAAGCCAGAAAAATATTTTTTATATTGTGTGTGTTTTTTTTTTTGTTTTTTTTTTTTACATTTAATTAAAAATATAGCGAGATTTTTCTTGTTAAAAACTTGAATAATTTTAACACATTCAACATTATGGATAGAAAATACTGAATTTTAGATAGCGTTTTTCGAAACATTGCAAAAGCAAAACAAATTCCCGAATTCGGACGGAAAAAGACCCCAAAATGGCGTCAAAACCTGTGAAATGTTTTCATCCTTTTAATAATAGTTGTTCTTAGTTTAATTTGTGACGTATATACACATACGGTGCTCCAAACCGTTCAACTGTCGAACTCTGTCTTTGGCAGAGAGGAACCCGGACGAGGCTTTGGAAGTAGACAGACCCAGGCCCGTTTATGCGGGATCTTCGGGAATATTTTTGGCCGAGTCTCCGGGCTCGGAGAACCCACCGTAAAATTGGCCTTGTGCGACATAAATCTCTCGTAGTTGGGGACTGTTAAATATTAACGTATATACATATAGGTAGTAAAAAGCAAATATTAAAAACCATTGTCTAGCGCCCCCTATCGGGATTGCCGCCCCCTATCGGGGTTGTGTAGGTCAGACAGAATAGGGTTTATTCTTTTAACTGTAAACACATTTTTATTTCACTAACCGCACCCCGTTCTGCCACGTTTATAAAAGCAAACAATAGATTCATTATTTGCAATCAGCTACTGGCATAAAATGCCGCAAGGAAGGTAGAAGAATGATTCGTGAATTGATTCGAGTATCAATTGGGCTTCATCATGAATCATCGCTGCGAAAATAGGAAATAAAAGAAAAAAAAGTTATTTGACCGCTCGCTCTTCTATTGTCGCTATTGTCAAAAATCCTTTTTTTTTCTTTTTTTTTTTAAATTTCAGTGTGACTCACCATATCCTTTTGCCATCCGTGCTGTGACAAACATTAAATATAAAAGAGATATCCTTTTGAAATTCAAAAATAAAACGTGCCCTTACACATTTTTCATTAATTTATTCAACTACAAAAACAGTTCAGATCAGTCATTCTCTCAAAGTAGGCGGTATCACGCCTCCAAGGGAGGTGGAAATATTTAAGGGTGACGGTAGGGGGAAAAAAAGGGTGTTATTTGAACCAAGAGAGTATTTTCTGAACACATTTGAAACACGTACGTTTTTACAATCGACCAGCTTACCAGAGAAAATCGAACTTCAATCAGTTATGCCCTATGCGTGGTAAACCCATAGGCGATCATGTATCTTTCGATACATGACTGACGAGGCAGATTTTTTCCCGCAGTAGGTTGCCATTTCTTTGTATTTCCAAGGCTATAGAACCCGGTCAGTCCTACTATTTACCCATAGCTAGTGGGGTGAGAAGAGGAGGATTAATGCCTTTCCCAAGAGTATGAGCACTTAAGTGAATTCAAATGGAATTCGAACTCGGTTCTCCAATTCCTCAATCCGAGCCGCCATTACACCACCGTGCCCCCTTACAGCTACGTAATAATAATCAACAATTCTAGTTCCTTAACCATTACCCCAAGTTGACTTGATCATCTTAGTTTTAGCAGAAGGTCACAAGTATGATGCCCCTAATTAAAGTACCCGAGTTGTCATTTACTAACATTAGCTTAATTTTTGCATATGTATTGGGCACCCAGTCAGAATCAAACTCACTACCTAACAACGATAGTCAACCAGACTACCTCGTTAACCGTTACCCGGGTCAACGCGAGCAGCTTAATTTGGACAAAAGGTTACACATACGACGCTTTCAATGTGAATCGAACTCACTACTCAGAAATCATGGTTAACGAGAAGAGCTCCTTAACCATTACCCACCCCGAAGCGATCAGCTAAGATTTGGCATAAGCCCACAATTATGGGACATCCAGTGAGACACCAACTCACCATTTGGTAGTAAGGGTCAACAAGACAAGCTCGTTAACCGCTACCGATGCCAAAGCGATCAGCTTAGTTTTAGCGCAAGATCACAATTATGGACAATCCAGTGGAGATCGAACTCACTACTCACTAATAATAATTAAAAAAAACTAGCTCGTTAACCATTACACCAAGTCGACGTGACCAGCTTAAATTTAAAACAAAACCACAGTATAAGGCTTCCAGTTAGTATCGAACTCATGTTTTATACTATTCAGTAATAATGATCACTTATAAATAAAATATATAGTAAAGAGTCAGACAGGTGTACATTGAATAGTAAATGTACCCTGTACAACAATATGGCGTCGTCAATAGGACGCTTAAGTAGCTTAGACGAACCAGAATTTGTTGAGACTTGGATCCGGTGTTTTGCATTAGTCACGAATTTCGAAAATCGAAAAATAATAAAGAAGTCTCCTGAAATAAGCATTTATTTTTAAGACATTACTTCATATATTTAAGTGGCGCAATTTTAATTTAAAGGGATTTATGAAGAATCTGCTATATTTTATTTAGATTGGATTCATGTCTTTCCCAATGTTATTTGCGTTTAAGTTAATATAACGAACCTAACGGGAATTGGAACTCGGCTCTCTGAATAACAATTCTGAGCCATTATCCATTATACCACCCGCACGTCCAAGCTTACCTGGTATTCCCAAGCGGTCACTCATCTAGTTACTGAACAGGTCCGACGTTGCTTAACTTTGGTGATTGTACGAGAAGCGGTGTTTTATTGTGATATAGCCGTAGGCATACAACTAACACATCCAAGCTTACAGCACCTGGTATTTCCAAGCGGTCACCCATCTAGGTACTGAACAGGCCCGACGTTGCTTAACTTTGGTGATCGTACGAGAACCAATGTTTCAATGTGATATAGCCGTAAACTATACCACCAACACATCCAAGCTTAGAGCACCTGGTATTCCCAAGCGGTCACCCATCTAGGTACTGACCAGGCCCGACAATGCTTAACTTCGGTGATCGTACGGGAACCTTAAACGGCAGACTTGAATTAAACATGGAAGGCAGTTGCTTTCTCTAGCTTTAAAAAAATATGTAAAAATAATTCTTAAATTACTCATTTGTTACCTTAGTGCGCACCTGGATACCTTTCAAGGCGTATTATTGCGCTCGGGCGCATTAGTTGTTTTAGATTTTCTGTAGACCTAATAACACGAAAGAGGTGTGCGTTCTTTGCACTTGGTGGGATGGTTAGGATCGGAGCTAAGTGGATGAAAGCCTAAAAAAATTGGGAACCCCTGATTAGACTGTCGGTACATGTTTTTTTTTGTTCGCGGTTAATAACGAAAATTTTAAGGGAATCGGGAACTGGATTTATTAATTGGCGTCCCACCCTGCAATCAAGAAGGTAATTGTTCTTTGTTTCATTTTTGTACAGGAAAGGAATTTTCGATTGAATTAAGGTTCGTTCTTTGGCAAATTCGGTAAAAGGTCAAAGTGGGGAAAGCTTAATGAATTTGGTCAAGGATGCAGTGTTTAATGGTTGAAATGCATCACGCATGCGCTCGACTTCAAAATAGACTACTCTGAGAGTTGATTTAAATTTCATTTTTTTTTCCAATTTCCCCACTACACAAATTTAACTACTTGCGAATAGTTACAGCAAACAACGGAAAATAGTACACAGAAATCCGAAGGCACATTTGAATGGAGCAAGATGCTTTCCGGAAACTAAAGAAAACATTAAAAAACAGGAAAATTTTCGTTAGAAACAAAGAACCTGTCATGTATTATCAATACTTTTCTCTCTGTATCTGTCTATATTTCTGAGATAAGGTATTATGTACATTATTTACATTATTCAGACTATTGTCCTCATCTTTTTCGCTATATTTATCACAACGTTTCAGCCTTTCAGTGTCTGTCTATATTTCTGAGATGAGGTATAATGTACATTATTTACATTATTCGGACTGTTGTCCTCATCTTTGTCGCCATATTTATAACAACGTTTCAGCCTTTCGGTATCTGTCTATATTTCTGAGATGAGGTATTATTTACATTATTTACATTATTCGGACTATTGTCCTCATCTTTGTCGCCATATTTATTACATTTCGGCCTTTCAGTATCTGTCTATATTTCTGAGATGAGGTATTATGTACATTATTTACATTATTCGGATTATTGCCCTCATCTTTGTCGCCATATTTATCACAACGTTTCATGTTTAATGTTTCATGTCAATTATCAGTTATCTCCTGTTAATACCCCTCTCCAAGTTCTCCATTGCCATAACACAGTGAATAAAGGCGTTGATTAGATCCAGTGACAGGACCCAAAGAGTGTGAGTTCAATACCCGCTTAAGGCAGTGGAGAACTTGGAGAGGGGAATTAACAGGAGATAACTGATAACTGACATCCATTAAACATGGTACGTGGAACTAGAACAGTCTAACCCAGCGAGTGAAATAAAGGGTTAAGTTCGACATTCCAACCACCTGAAGAAGGCCGGAGAGTACAACGGCTGAAACGTTGTAATAAATATGGCGACAAAGATAAGGACAATGGTCAGAATAATATAAATAATGTACTTTTCTTTATGCCTCTTGATTTCTTGGGGAACATAGAACCACAACTATATATCTCCAACGGACGCGGTTCTTGGGCAATACACTACAACTATCTCACTCTCTTTCCCCCCCCTCCTCTTATCTCTCTTTTTCTTTCCCATAAAAACAAACTTATATTGAAATCTCTGTCTTTCTCCCCTTTTTTCTTTCTCCCTTTTAATATTAAAACTTTTCTCTCTTTTTTCTTCTTTTCCTTGTATCTGTATAAATTGAACTCCATTTATGTAAAACGGGTCTGAAGAGATGGATATATGTCTACGAAATAAATTATAAACGGACCTGATGGATTTTTAAGGATTCTGTATTCATCATATATATATATATATATATATATATATATATATATATATATATATACGAAAGTTTCTTAATCTGAGAAAACATTAACTTACCTTGATATCGATTCCATTAAGAGGAAAAAGGCGCGAACATTGGTCCAAACCGACTGTCGACATTCTGTTGTTTTCATCTTCAATAAGCGAATCATCCCGGAAGCGCTTAAATATTGAACTTTTCCCTACACCGTATTCTCCGCAGAGGATGATTTTATAATGGGGGGGTCCTGTGGCCATGGTCACTGGAGGCAACTGGAACTGAAAAGAGGAAGAGGAGAAAAATAAATAAATCTATACCATATTATAATTCCGCTTGTTCCTGCGTTCCTCAACACGACCGTTACGCCCTGCCAAGATATCATAAATAATGGACTATTCCATTTTGATCGCGAGGAAAGACGGAACGGGTATGTTGGAGACGCTATTTGGTTTAAGCGATAAAAAGAAAGAAAGAAAGAGAAAATAGAAGAGGCGATAATGCTGTCATGCGTTTAATGTCTGCTTCACTGAAATGGAAGAGCTTGTCAGTTTTTAATCTTTTCATTTGTATCCACTTACTTCTTTAAATAACGGCTTGCTTTCATATTTGTTTGTTTTTGCAATAATGGGTTAAAGTTGTTAAATTCAATTTAATGATGCAACAGGGGAATTTCCAGACATTTTACGGTCGGAAAATTCGCCATGCGCTTATTCAATCATTAACTTAAGAATTAAGATTCATCAAGAAATTCACATTATCGCCCTGTCGGCTGGGGATCTAGAATACGCCAACTGCACCTCTGCAGAGAGGTAAACCCCTCCTAATGGGGGGTCCTGGATATGTTTATCAACTACATCTGCGTCCTGGGCAAGACGATAAACTACACCCAACAGCAAGGCCTTTGATCAGGAGGTTTTGAGGAGCGTGGAACCACGTCTTAATTGCTGGTTCCCAGGTCCACCCTGACCCAGGGTAGTAGCACCTGTTAGGGTCCCATGTATGGGCAAATAGTTAACCTTCAAACTGGGGTAAAAACGTGTACAAATAGGTTTTAATACCAGCGATACATTATTAACAGTAATACATTTTGGGAAAATATTACGAACAATGCATTTTTGAACAAAAATATAACCAGCAATAAAAATCTTGTCAGCATTAAATAACCCATTGAGGTGTTGATATGCCGTAAAACAAAACAAACCAAACCAATACATACTGAGATAGATAGATAGATAGATAGATAGATAGATAGATAGAATAAAATATAACCAGCAATAAAAATCTTGTCGGCATGAAATAATCCATCGAGGTTGATATACCGTAAAACAAACCAAACGAAACCGAGCTATAGGCAAACTGTTACCCCACTCCCACCGTCAAACTGGGTTCAAAACATTATGAATGTGTAAAAATGCGTTTTCATACCAGCAATATATAAAAAATTATTAGCTGCAATAAAAAATCTTGTCGGCATTAAATAACCCATTGAGGTTGATATACCGTAAAACAAAACAAACCAATATATACTGAGATAGATAGATAGATAGATAGATAGATACTGTATAGACTCAGATAGATAGATAGATACTGTATAGACTCAGATAGAGAGAGAGATAGATAGGTACTATGTAGACTCAGATAGATAGATAGGTACTATGTAGACTCAGATAGATAGATAGGTACTGTGTAG